ATATATATATATATGTATGTATATGTGATAGAATTTAAAAATGAAATAGTTATAAAATATGTTCTTATATAAGATTTATGCGAAACATCCTCATGTGTGTATATCGCATCGTGTGATTGCGAACCGCTCGGTGTTAATCCGACAGCTCTCCAAGGAGACACCACCAAGCACCACCAACACTATCATCACAACCAATATAACCACCACCAATACCACCACCATCAATATGAATACCACTACTACTACCACCACCGCCATGACTACCATCATCACCAAACCCGCCGCTATGACGGCTCAGCAACAACAGCAGCAGGGAGTGGGTTTGAGGCCCATAGAGAAGCAATCAGGAATGTTGATGACCAGTGGAATGACGTCAACCGGCAACAATCAGCATCAGGAGGTGTGTGGGGTGCAGGGAACCCCGCCCAGCCCCTCCCTCTCCCCTGAAGCTCCTAGAAACCAACAGTCATCCGTCTTGCAATCTTGCACAACACCGGCTTCTTCGTCCTCTTTGTCTTCTTCTGCGTCTTCTTCCTCTTCTTTTTCTCATTGCAATAATTCGGGTGAAGGGCAGCAACCCCTCCAGCAACGTCCACCCCCGATTGTCGTTAATAGCGGCAGCGGGAATAGTAGTATAGATCAGCATCAAATCCGAGTACTTACTCCGTCCGAGATCATGCGCACCCTTCCGTCCCTCAGCCAGGAGCACTACGATCCCCCACCTCCGCCACCACCACCCACTGCAATTGTTCACACTGTGCCTCCCGTACAGAACCATCACCACCACCACCACCACCATCACCACCACCACCCGAATAACATCATGGTGAGAGCCTTCGTAGTGTTTTCTTGCCTTTCTTTTTGCATCTAATCGAGACTTAGTATTCTTCTTGTATACATGTATATATATTATATTTAAAATATTTTTAGTTAAACGAAGATTTTACTCTTTAAATACGTGTTTCATGCTTTATATTATAGGGCCGTGGTTGATATGAATCATATTATAGTTTTCTTTAGCGTCATTGTCAACATTTGTCTTAAAGAATTTAAAGAGTTTATTTACACGCATTTAATTTTTTAATTAGTATTTATTTTCATATTCTTAGATTTTACATGATTGAATTTATTTAATTGAAATATTTTTTTAATATAGAATGCTGGACATATATATATATATACATATATATTTTTTCTGTTAGGTCACCATTGTAATAGAAAGTATTTGGTAGTGTATATTTCTTATTTCTTTTATAATTCAAAAATATTCCAGTAGCATGTTTAAAAATAGTAGCATATCTTTTATAATCTATCCCGTTTGTATCCCTATCAATCCTAATTCATGAATCATTATTTATTTCTTATCCTTTAAATCCATTGATATTGCTTATGATTTTTTTATTATTGTGGGTGAATGATAAATTACTATATATACTATATTGCTCTATATCTGGTTATGCAGTAGCTTAGTACTAATTTTATTACTTTCAGATTTTTCCTCCTTATCACAAATATAATTACAAGAATTAAAAATTTTCTGTTTTTATCTGTTTTAAAGTTAAAATGAAAGATATAGCAAACAAACAGATGTAGCGAATAAATTATAATCCGAAGAAATAAAAAAAAAGGAATCTATATGACAATTTATTAAACAAATAGACAGAAATTTTTTCTAACTTTTGTGAACTTATGTTTTTCTTATGTTTTTTTAGAACTATCATAGATGTATTTTTTAATTTTTAGTATGATTATTTTTATGCTATAGACATTCTGAGAAGATATCCTATATTTATCATGTTTTCTAATAGCAAATATGTAAAATTACTTTTAAAGATGAAAATTTTAATTTGAAAATATGGAGATTATAAGAATTTTTTTAATAAAAAAAATATTATCTACAGATAATTTATTGTATATATTAACAAAAATAAATAGCATTATGAAATATATATTGATATTAAAAACGCGAAAATCAAAAGCGTCAAAATTGAAGCGTGTCATTGATTAATGTGTGTATGCGTGCGTGCGTGCGCGCGTGCGTGCGTGCGCGCGTGCGTGCGTGCGTGCGTGCGTTTTTCTAATTAGTTGCATTAAATTATATTTATATCTAAGGATATCTTTTACTTGTATGTATACAATGCCATAATTTTAAATTTAATTTTTATTTAAAGATGCTTATATACATATATTAATCCTTAACCGCCTTTTTGGTGGCATACCCGGCTTTTCTTTTTCTAATGCTTTTTCAATGCTTCTTCTATTGCTTATAATTTTTTTATTAATACAAGTACATATATTTGCTTGGTACCATTATGCTGTTTCATGTCTACTTTTAAATGAAAAAAATTGTTTACAATATGTTCATTTTTTATGAAAGTTATAAGCAATCGAATTTGATTGGGTATGTCATACTCAAGTGTATTTTTGTAGTGTGGCGTTTAAGGGTTAAATAAAAACTTATTAAACTATTTATAATTCTAATATTTCAGATTAAGATTTTTATCTTTAAATGATCTTAGAAATCTAGTATTATTAAACGGTGTATTATACATATATATCTGATATACTCTATAATTCTATATACATAACACACATTTTATTATGATTGTATTTTATTATGTGTAAAATTATTGGAATTATTCAACATTTTGATACGCATGAATGTGGAATCGTCGTATTAATCTTCGGTGAGATTGTGGTGTTTGTAGTTTTTTGTTTTTTACTGTGAATAAAGTTTTCTTCAAGTAAACTAATTAATATGCGCGCGTGCGTGTATATAAATGTACTAATATTATAAATTAATCTCTTTAAATTATGGTGGCTGGTTATATTTGTTTTCGGTGTATTTGCATATGTACGAAATTTACAGAATTTTGCTAATTATTAATTTAATTGTGTATTATTGTTTAAAAGTGTTTATGCAATGGTCAAAAGTTTGAAATTATATTTATTTTTCATGTAATGGAAATATATAGAATTAAGAAAGTTAATATTTATTTCTTAGTTTTCTTTGAATATTTTTTCAGATCTTTGGCCGACATTATGTATATGAATATTTTTTATTGGCTGGTTGTAATTAGTGCTTTATATTTAATTGTGCTTTATAAAAAAGGTCATTACATTTAAAAATTGATTTCTTGAACAATTTATATGAATATAATTACAAAAATAAATTTATAAATTTTAGATGCCTATTTATTAAATTTTATTAAATTTTATTCAATTCATAATTAAGATTAATATTAAATAAAATAAAGTTTAATAATATTTAACAAAAATATTACAATACCGTAAAATTAAATAAAAATAATTTTAATATTAAATCTAATTTTTTAAATAATTAGTAATTTTTTACTGATGCAGTTATTAATTATAGAGCTCTAAAAAAGCAATACATTTTTTAATTAAAAATAATTACGTTAAATGTAATGACCTTCTTTAACAAATAGCTTAAAAATTATATGTAATTGATCTTCAACAGGAACAGGATAGACTATCAAACAGAGATCGATCTACTAGAGAAGCTGAGCAGGAAAGGCAATGGAAACAATTGCAAGCATTACGTCAACAACAAGCACAATTGCAGCAGCAAGTCATCCATGAACAACGCGTACATGGTACATTTACTATATTTAATTCTACCTTAATAGTTTGGAGCATCATTTTATTATATTTTTTATATTTTATTTGAGAAAAATCTAAATTTAATATAAGTTGAAAAAAGTTATCGGAAAATTAAAGGTATATAAAAAGAAATAAAACGATTTTTACAATTTATTTTATGATCAAAAACACAAAATTTTAGTTCATTAATTAAATTGATATACTATTATTTAAGATAAACAAAAAAAATTTTATGTCAATATAATTTAAATCGCAATTATAATTTCTTTTTCTGTTAAAAGCAATTGCTAGAGTACATAGACAAATCAGTGAAGAAAATGCACCTCAACTAAATAGTGATACTGCACCCGTATTAACGACACAATTACAAGTTTCCACAGCCCAAGTAAGTCTGTTTAATTTTTTCCTATTTTGATTATATATATTGTAATTAATTTTATATATATATATATATATATTTTTTTTTTTAATTCCATATTAATGTATATTTTTAATAAAATACTTTAATAAAATTATTTTAAGTCACCGAGACTAGAATATAATTTAGCTGATATGTTACTTGCAAATTAATGAAACTGACAATATATTCACAAATTGCTTAAAAAATAAATACAAAATAACATAAAATAAAATAATCTTCTATATATTAATTTTAAAATTTTGATACAGGACGCGAGTCAACTAACTTCCTTAGCCTCTCCTTCTCGCAGTACTTTCGCTACACCCTCACTCAAAGCCCCTCGTAGTCTCACACCTCAGTCACCTCATCATCAAACTATGATACGTCTGCCTGTGCAAGCACCTTGTCGAGTAATACGTCCGGGCTTTCCTCAACCACCATCTCCCTTCTCACCGCAAGCGCCTCAGTCACCTCATGATTTTCCACAGTCCCCGGCTTCCTCTCAACCTTCTCAGGAGTCACATTTCCAACGCTTCGAAGGTAATGTATCAACTCCTGCATCCCCCTATTCATCACCACAAACGCCAGGTACACCCCGCACTCCCGTGTTTAATCCTCCACGACCTCCCGTATATGCTCCTCCTCCTCCTCCTCCCCCTCCTCCTCCTCCTCCTCCTCCTCCACCTGCAACATCGCGAACTCCTGATCCTTACAGCCAGCCACCTGTCACTCCCACATCCGCTCCTGCCGCATCTGGCTATCCATCACCTAGGGGTTCTGAAACTCCTCGAACATCTCAGGAACAAGAAGTGGCTTTTGTACAACAACCGGAAGTCAATAGGCAATTGAGAGACTTACTGCAAAGACAACAATTTAGTAAGAAAATTGAAGGAGTAGGTGCCAATTGGGTTCAAGGTTTGTTTTATTCTGTAATTTCTGAATAATGAATATATGATTATTTTATATCAAGTATTTGCTGAAATATAAATGAAGTAAAATACAATTAAAATTATCTTCGCACTTTTTCAATTATATTCATAATTTAGATGGACAGAATAATACGGAGAACAATCAGCAACAGTTTGAAGCCAGTCATGTGCAGCTTCAGCAACAACACTCTCAAGTACAAAACAATTCTAGTGAAGGCACTTTTAGACATCCACTTCCACCAGGCATTGTTAGGCCCAGAATGCCTATTCAACCGAATGTCTTAATAAGAAATTCCATTGGTATGCATGTAATATTTGTATTTATTAATTTTCAATGTATAAATATTAATTTATTATATTAATTTCCTTGAGCGCGCGAAATTCTAGCCTCATTATTCGTAATTTTTGAACTCTTCTCATTTAAAAATTATCATATTTTTGTATTAAATTTTTCGTCTTAAAATATATTACAAAGAATCTGTCTGTAAAATATTTAACGTCAGTTTTGGGACATCCTGTGTAATAAATCTTATGTTATATAGTATTTAACTATATAGTACCTGCATAAATTATAATAATTGTTGAAACATTCTCTCTAATACTTAAATATTCTTAATCAAATAAAATTAATTAATTATATTATTAACTTTTTTTGTGTAAAATCTTTAATTTTTATATAAAATTTCTGTGTGTGATATATGAATTCAGGAATAAACTCGCGACATCCTGTAGCAGGAAATATTCAAAATCCGATTGATCATCGTACTAGGACGTTACTGCAGAATAGACCCCCAGTAGCTACTAATGTACCTGCTCAACAGCATTTTCAAGCAACTCAAAATCTCCAAATACGAATGCCAGCAACGAGAAATGCCATTTCCGAATCTTATGATATTTTGCAACAACAGAGATTTACAGGTAAATTAAAAAAAATTTTTTACGCAAAACAGTATTTTGAAAGCAATATATTTTTGAAAGAAATAATTTAGACAAAAGTTATTTATTTTTAAAAAAGTGAAATTAATGATTTCACAAAATTTGATTTTTTCTGTATTCTAAAAATTTAATAAATTAAAAAACAAGATATTCCTAATGTTTAATCGTTTTCAATTGTTGTATTGTAAATATAGATAGTGGAAAAAAATTACTAATGTATGTCCTAATTGCAGACCGATATCACAATTGTTTGGTATTATCTTCAAAAAATTTAAATATGCGTGAGCATTTATATTTTTCTATTATTTAAATTTTCATCTTTTTTTATAGCTTTTTATATAAATTATAATTTAAAATGTTAGAAAGTTCTGATGTTACACAACCATAAAAAATTGAATTTACAAAGATTTTAACAAAATAAAAAACCTTTTTTTAGACGTGAATCAGACGCAGAATCAGCGTGTCGCACGAACAGCACAGGACAATTTAAATCAAGGTATTCGTATGAATATAACTCCAGGGATGGTGCGAGCACCACTCGTTCCCACAACAATGAGCGAGACCGTGGGAGTGGTTACTTCAGAAGCATCTGAGATCCCCGACAATGTAACAGCTGAATTGGAAAAGCTAGAGCAGGAAGGAGCCGGTCCAATGGTTGAAGTCGAAGGAGTCAGTGCAATATTGGGAGATTTGGCAGATGATGATGACGAACTGCTTGGTAGGTCTCTTTTTGTGTATTGCATAATAAAATTAAAGAATGTAAAGGAATTTGAATTTCAAAATTTAGAATTAAACAAAATTATCATATATATTTGTCACTTGTAAAACGAATTAATTCCAACACCTAATATATATACGTGTATATACGTGTGTAAAAAGTTGCCTGCTTTACAATGCCAACATTGCACAACTCAATCACGTTGACATGGTTCAGGTAATGTTGACCTGCACACTATGCAGACTTTGCTTGTAACACACGCGCACGTACACACGCACACGTGCACGCACGGTGTGTTTGTCCGGCGCGAACTTTTAAACACCCCCTTCACACACACACACACACACACACACACACACACACACACACACACACACACACACATTAATTTTGAAAGAAAAAGTTGGAAACAAATTTCTTATACAAATTAATACAAAATTTAAAACTAAGAATTTATTATTCTTGAAGCTGAAATGGGAGCGGACTTCAACATTCTGGAATATGCGGACCCTGAATTGGACACGATCGCAGGTGGGGAGAAAACTAATATTCTTGATCTGGATCTCGAGCAAGTTGAAGTTGATCCCAAAGACGATAAACAAAAAAAAGAAACTAGAGACGAAGAACAGAAATCAGAATTAACTGGTCCAACCTCTGATATTACTGATTCCTGCTCGACGAGCACGAGTTTGACTCTGACAGAAAATTCCAACGTGTCGACAATAACATCACCACAGGCGACATCACAGACGACATCGCAGGCAATGCAGGCGCAAGTAGTGCAACAACAAATGCATCAGCAAGTACAACAAGCGGCAGCGATGGGTCGGCCAATACCTCCCGGTACAAGGTTGCTTTCACCAGATGGAGCAGTTGGAGTAGTAACTTCCACAAACACAGTAACTGTGAGCTATCCATCGAATTTTTCCGGACATCCGCAGAGATTTTCGCAGGCACATATACAAGGTAAAGTTAAAAAAATTATTTATAACAATATTTTATTTGTTTCTTTTGGAGTTTAAGTATTAGATTATTCTGTAAAAAAATTATATTTTAGAAAAATTTTAAATCAGTTACAGCTATAGTAATCCTATCTTTAATATGATATATAAAATAATTATATAAAATAATAGATATTATTTTGTATATTATGTTTTGTACAAATTTTTAATTTTGATATTTAATATCTATAACATTTATTTTTATTATAGTCTCGCAACAGCAACGGCTGGGCATGCGAGTAGCCGCAGGAATACCAAATATGGCTGGCAGAGTGGTTGCTGTAAATCATATGATTGGTCCACGGATGCCGTTGGCTCCGCCACCACCACCACCGCCACCACCACCCCCTTATCCAGGGCCACCACCGCCATATCCTGGACCGATACAGGTAAATGTCGATGTTTATATTAATTAATCTTTTTGGAAATTCATGCATCGCTTTGATATTTGTTTTTATGTAATTGCGAGAAAATCAAATTAATCACATTAAAATTAAGAGATTAAAGAGCATAATTGATGAATTAAAATGTAAAACATGCTTTTGTTAAATTTTTATACGAAACTCCGTATGAGATAATTGCAAAATGCGCGCGCGCCACACACACACACACACACACACACACACACACACACACACACACACACACACACACACGTAATATTCTAATAGAAAAAATAAAGATTTATAAGGAAATTCACAAAAAATTTGTGAATAAAATAAACAAAATGATGATAACTCCAATGCGGGACTATATTAATAACTCCACATAAAACTTTATTGATAATAATTAATTACATAATATGGTTTGTTAACGTTTTATAACATATAATTAATAAAATGTTTCATGAGATTGCATGTAATATATGTGTCAGTCAGTTTCGCATATCTGCTAAGTTTATTTAAAAAATATTTTGTGCGGCTGTGTACAGTATCAAATAGAAATAATTTTTCATATTTTGCTAAGCTGCCACTTAAAAATAATAGATATTTTTAGAAATATATGTTAAATAATATTTCCCGTATACAAGTTTTATTTAAAGTATATTTATATGAAAGTTTTTTTTAAATATTAGGTGTTGGAATTAATTCGTAGCGTTTTACAAGTGATGGGAAGTACTTTCATTAATGTATTTTTAATGCTCATGTGAAATAAATAACATTCTTTCATTAAAAACGCTACGAATTAATTCCAACACCTAATATATAAGAGTATGTTTATAAAATAATTTTTCACAATATATTAATAAATCATGAGAAAATTATTTAGTAAAATACGAAAAAAAAGCTTAAATATATAATTTGATTAATATATTTTACTAGACTCTATTAGACAAACGATAACCAATTTATAATTCAATCATGCTTTAATTAGAATAATTTGATCAGAAAGCGAAACTAAGACTAAAAAAATTGCTGTAATTGTAGGCGTAGCTAAATAATAGATCTTACACTTTCAGTGCCAAAACATTTTCTGTTTCGATAGACATTATAAATAATTGCTAATATATATTAAATTTAATATTTTATTCATTAGATGTATTTTTATAATTTTAATCTCTTTTATTTTTTTTTACAATTATAATTTTTATATAAAAATTATAAATTATATAGAAAGATATAATTTGAAAAATATTTAGAAGTTATATTAACTTAAAGTTCTAAAAACAATTATTTTTGAGATACATTTAAAATTGTAATAAGAATTTTTTTTCTTATTTATTTAATTTAATGAAACTTTTGCTCTATTATTCTCGTCATATTTTAATTATGTTTACATAAAACAGTATAAATCTGGAAAATGTTTAAATGGCAATGAAAAGAGTAATGGTAAGAAAATTGGCTAGTGTTTTTGGCCTGGGTGTGCAAGTTTGCAATATGCATTTGGTGTTGGTGCATGTCTAGATGGGACTGTGCCCGGGTGGTGGTGGTGGGGGGGGGCGAGGTATGACGCGGCCCTCAGTTCATATGACGGGGCACCAGGTACCGGTGGCGGGTCCGCCAATGGGACCTGTAGTGCCGCACCCTCACCGAAGACCTTTGCTTCTGCAGGTGAGCGAGATTTGGGGCATTCTAACAAGAAAAAATAAATTGAAATATAAATCTTCATTTTATGTTTAACTTCCGAAGAATTTCTCCCTTTTAATATTTTTTTAGAATGTAATTAAAAAATAAATCTATCTCTTAAGAACATTATATTTTAGAACTTTATATTTTAAGTAAAATAATTAATAGAAAATTATTTATTTGCTTTAATTTATTTATTATAAAATGTAACAAATATTAATAAAATTAAATATGTAAAAGTTAAAATTGATCATAAATTTAATTGAAAAGAATTTTTATATCGACTTTAGTATTTCATTATCTATTATAAAAGTAAAAAAGTTATTAATTTTTATATCTTTTCTCTCCTTTTCTATATTTTTATTATAAATTTTATGCTCCTTTAAATGTTTGCATCCATTCTGCATGAAATTAATTTTACTAACATTGACAAAATCTGTTTTTATTAAATTTTGCTTAATCCTTCTTGAAGCAACATGATGCTTTTTAGAATAATGCTTTTTTATAATCAACGCATCAATGTTGAAATTGTTTGCATGTTTGTGTAGTATTAATTTATAGTAGGCTATGAATTTTTTTATTATTTATATATTTATAAAGATATAAAGATATAAAATATTATTGGAAATGTAAATTCAAATTAATTTGCAATAATGTTTATCCACACATTTTATCTACGTTTATTTTTTTTATGTATATACAAACTTTATTTGAACTATTTACATACATAATAGCTGTAATTTTAGTTAACTTTACAATGTAATATTCAGTCCTAATGCAATAGAAATTTTAGCCTTTAGACCTTCAAAGTAGCACTCCTGGTATCAAAAATCGACCTTGACTGTCAGCAGTCGTGTTCACAGGAGCAGCCATTATTGCTGGAGGAGCTGTTAGAGCAGGAGAAACGACAGCAGCAGCAGCAGCAGCAGCAGCAGCAGCAACAGACCGAAAATGTCACTGGAGGAAGTCTTTTGAGTGACAGCGATTTTGAAAAATTCAAAGCTGATGTTTTGGGTACTACGTCACCTCCTCAGGGTATGGTGCCTGTAATAAGACCACCTTGTACAGCGAGATCACCTTCCACATCTAACACCAACTGGCAGCAAAGTGGCATAGCTACTGATGGAGTGCTAAAGCTAGCAGCGGCGCAAGTGGGATCGAGACAACCAATTGCCACACAGACTCCACCCGAACGTTAGTAGTCTTCTATTAATTATTTTATTGAATAGTTATTTAATGTTAATTAAGAGGGTTTCCTCAGCTTCAAAAAATCGATTTTTTTTTATTACATATTTTGAAAGACTAACATTTCAAGAATGTATATCCGAAGCCATTTAAAAAAATTCGAAATATTGATAAAGTTAGCACGCCGTCTCGTCATCCCATAAGCTGTTACGGAGGAGCGCGCAGCGCAAGTAATAGCATCGGGTCGTTATACAACTGAGTCCTTCATAGTAATTTAAATAAAATTTCATCTTTATATAATAGACACATAATTTTTTTAACCGTTGGTGCTTAAAGTGTTTTTCTGAATCCAGTCATTTTTAGGTTTTATATTCAGTTCTTTTTTTATGTTTTGTTGCACGTGTCATAATGAGTGCAGCAAAAAGTAGTCGGGAATCGAAACGAAGCAATGCACTTCGCAAAGATTTTACAAATCTAAAGTATATTCTTTAATATTAAAAAAACCCGATCCTAATATGCCTTTTCTTTCTTGAAAAACAAATTAGTGAAAATGAACTATTTTTCAAGCCGAGAAAGGTATATACCCTTTTATTACGATAAAAAGTAAATTAAGCTATAAAATAAGTTATATTTAGTGTTTATTAATTTTTATAAAAATTTATCAGAATTTTGTTGAATTTGTTTTCAACGATAAATCTTATTTAAATAAGAAAAATTTTGTAATTTGTTTGATTTATATTTAGAGTTAATGATATTTTGATAATATATTTTAAATTATTAATATTTGTAATGAAGATACATTTAATGAAGACATATATTTTTTTAGATATATTGTATATTATTTTAAATCTATACAATAATTCAATTTATTATATACAATTATATTTGCATTAATTTTTAGCAAGAGTGGCTATGTTTAACATTCCTCAAAAACCGGCACCACCGACTCCACCAGAAAATATTGCTAATGAGCAAGATCGGCAAATTCATGCGAATTATGAGCAATGGCTTAATAATCAGCATCAAATATTAACGCAACAATTAAAATATTATGAGGCAGAGGTTCAAAAACTTCGGAAAATAAGAAAGGTAAATAAAAATAAATTAGTATTATATTAATTAAAATTATCTAAATATTATAGTATTGTTTACTAAAATATATCTTTGCAGTATATATTACTAGATTTTAATCCTAATATTAATTCCTAAATTTTAGTTTGTCCTACATTTTCATATTTCTCATGTTTCTCTATCTTATTTCTCTTCAGTCTCTCAATAGTAAGCAACGTCAGCTTCGTAAATCTGGTAACGAACTGACAGAGACCGATGCTGCTGAACTACAACGGATTTCTTCCGAGCAAGCTATTCTTCAGAAACATTTAGAAACTTCTCGTAAGCAACAGCGTCAACACAGCGTATTGGTTCAAGAGTATCATAACAAACAACAACAACAACGACAAACTCAACCCCAACCAAATGAACCTTGTTCTCCATTGATGTCACCTTCTCAGCATTCTCCGATGCATTCTCCAGCAGCGTTGGTTTCTCAGAGTCCTGGTCCTAGCATGATTCAACATTCACCAGCAACTCCATCAATTGTTCAACATAGTCCAGGCACACCGCTGCTTCAACATAGTCCAGGCAACCCTCAATCGTCTAATCCAGGTACAATGTCACCGCATAATGTTCAGCAACAATCGCCAAGAATTGGCACTCCTCATTCTCAAGGTGATGAAAGTCCATTCAGTCCTGGGCCAATGCCTTCTCCGGGTCTATGCAATCCCAACACTACACGAATGACTTCACCACAACATAGAGCCATTATTGGCGGAAGATTGGCAACTTCTCCTGGTGCTTTTACGCCGGAGACGCGAAATCAACAGTTGATAGTTGATCAGGGTGTGAGAGTTCACAGTTTAACTCAGAGATTTGTTAGACCACCAGAAGGGGCGCAGAGGAGAGGAGGTATCGTTTACAATCCACAGTCAGGACAGCAGCAGTTACTAAATCAACAACAGCATCAGCTGTTACAGAGGCAGCAAATTATTCAGCAACAGCATGAAGGCGTTTCTCAGGATCAAAGTCAAAATACTATTGTTCGGGGGACATTGCAGCGGCAGCAAGTTTTCCAACAACAACAACAACAACAACAACAACATGAAGGTGTTTCTCGACAACAAATTCTTCAACAGAATGATATTTCTCAGGATGGACAGAATCTTATTACTCAAAGAAATTTACAAATGGTTCAACAAAGACAAATTCTTCAACAGCAACAGACTGATATCATTTCTCAAGAAGGACAGAATGTTGTCGTTCAAAGAAATTTACAAACGAGCCGGCAACAAATTATTCAGCAGCAGCAACAAGAAGGTCTTTCTCAGGATGGACAAAATGTCGTTACTCAAAGATCGTTGCAAATAACTCAGCAACGACAGCAAATTCTTCAACAACAACAAATTCTTCAGCAACAACAAACTGAAGATGTTTCTCAGGAAGGACAGAGTTCTATTAATCAAAGATCGTTGCAAGTAGTTTCACAACAGCAACGACAACAAATTCTTCAGCAGCAGCAACAACAGAATGATATTATTCCTCAAGAAAGTCATAATGTCGTTGCTGCTCAAAGAAACTTACAGATGGTGCAGCAGCGACAACAAATTCTTCAGCAACAACAACAAATTCTTCGACAACAACATGAAGTTATTTCTCAAAGTATTTCTCAAGAAGAACAAATTCCTCAAAATTCTATTCCTAGAACGCTACAAATGATTCAACAACGGCAGCAGATTCTTCAACAACAACAGCAGCAACAAGAAGGTACTTCTCAAGATGGGCAAAATATTACTGTTCAAAGACATTTGCAAATAGCGCAACAACGACAGCAGCATGAAAGTGTTTCACAGAATATTTCTCAAGAAATTGGACAAAATGTTCAAAGATCAATACAAATGGCACAGCAGCGTCAAATCCTTCAACAACACCAGCAACATGAAAGTATTTCTCAAGATGGGCAGAATACTGTTGCTCAAAGAAATTTACAAATAGCTCAACAACGTCAACAGCAAATTCTTCATCAACAGCATCAACATGAAGATGTTTCTCAAGATGGCGCTATTACTCAAAGATCATTACAACTGGCCCAACAACGACCACAAATTTTACAGCAACAACATGAAGGTGTTTCTCAATCTGTTCCTCAAGAAGGACAAAGTGCTATTACTCAAAGACCTTTGCAGATGGTTCAACGACAACAGATTCTTCATCAACAGCAACATGAGGTTATTTCTCAAGAAGGACAGACTTCTATTGTTCAAAGATCACTTCAAATGGCTCAGCAACGTCAACAAATTCTTCATCAACAACATGAAGGTGTTTCTCAGGGTATTTCTCAAGAAGGGCAGAATTCTATTGGTCCAAGATCACTCCAAATGGCTCAGCAACGACAGCATATTCTCCAGCAACAACAGCAAAGACAATTCTTGCAAATGCAACAACAGCAGCAGAAACCGCCTAACTCGCCGATGGTGTCTCAGTCATCAAATTCCCCCAGTCCACAGCTTCATCAGCAACTTCAACAAAATTATGGTCAACCTCCAAATTCACCTATGGTGCAACAGACAACGATGGGTTCTCCGATGCTTCAACAACAATTAAATCCGGCTTCACAACCTCCTAGTCCAATGAACAGGATTTCACCGATGCTTCATGGTAGCCATCATCATTCTTCAACAACTACTCAACCACCCAGCTCTCCTATGATGCCTAGAAGTCCTATGGTAGCTGGATCTCCTATGCAAATGCAGCGAAGACAGTCTACTGGGAATAGTCCTGCTATGCCAGACAGACCCCAAAGTGTGGAAAATCCTGGAACTCCAAGAACACCTCATACACCTCATACACCTCATAATTTTGTCCAACAAAATACTAATTTAACTGTAACTGCAAGTGATCAGCAACAAATTTCTCAGCAAATTCCTCAACAAGTTTCTCAGGAACAAACTTCTTTATCAGATAATCTTTCTAGAGGTGGAGGAAACTCCAATAATCCCTTAAATCCCATTCCTTTTCTTGATTTTGCGAAGACTGGATATTTTAAATTAGGATTAAAGGGTGGTTCATCAGATGATCAGGACCAGATTCGTCAACAAATTTCTCAAGTTCTTTTACCAGAAAATTCTACTAAAAATGAGAAAAATAATAATAAATCTATAAAACCAATACGATTTCCTAATTTTGGACGATTTGGATGGTTCAAGTTGGGTTTAAGAGGAGGATCGCCAATGTGGTCAAGCAAAGCTGATAGCAGTAAAGGTGGTAAAGGATCGGAAACATCTCAAACGAAAAGAGATCAGTCTACAGAAGAGAAAGCAAATACTTCCATGAATCGGAAAACTGCTAGAATCAGCTCATTAGTCTGTGTCGATTATAATGACTTCGATGATGATTCTCATACGCCGCCACAAGCTTCTCCCACAACTTTAGAGATAAAATCAACTGGTCAAGGCTCTTCATTGACCTCTTCAACTTTAGATAATGGATCTTTAACTTTAGAAAGTCCCGGAGAAAAATTGGAACAACTTCCAGATACGACAGATTATGATGATGACAAAACTATAGTTAATACTGAAGTGACTTTGAGTTCCACAGCTCAACGAGACAGTGATGATATTACCGTGATTGAACAGTTCGGTGACTCAGAACTAGTTGATGTTATTTCAGGAACTTTAGAAGGTGATATGCAAGAAGAATATGTTTTATTCGAACCTGGAATGGTGGTGGATCTTTCTGCTGATAGTAACGATTCTCTTTGTCATGCTTTAGTAAATGATGCTGGTCAAGGTCATGACTTAGTGCAGATTTTAGAGATTGATAATTCTGAATCACAATCAGAAGAACCTATTTTGAGTGACGAAGATTTAGTCCCGTCTCATTCAAGAAATAAAAAGGGTCTTAGACTCGATATAGTGAGGGCCTTTCAGTCTGGAAAAAAGCTAGTCGCTGTAACTGATACTCCTGAATCACCAGATCAAGAAGAACTTCGAGTTGATCCTTCTCCAGGTCCTTATTTAGATCAGTCTCCTGATCAAGAACTTATGGTATCTTTAGTAAGTGATTCTGAAGTGGTTATTATCGATCCTACAACGAAATCGCCTGAAGACAATCTTTCTAAGGGTTCTTGCGATGAAGAGATTGAAAAAACTGATAATAATATACAAACTGATGTTTCTAAAGAAAATACATTTAATGAAGGCTCGATAGATGATCAAACCAAATCTTCAAAACAAAACAAGAGTCCTACAAATTTTATCTTTTCAGATAAATCGTATACCAAAACACCAACTTCAACTATATACCCAACTAATATTAATGTAACAGTCTCAAAATCGTTGGTTTCTTTAATAAATACTACAATTTCTTCAAATTTAATTTCCAATTTAGTTTCTACTAGCTCTAATTCTCAACTAACTCAGGTTTCAATTCAACCAATTGTGACAGAAACTAAAATGGTAGATCAGTTTGACTTAAAAGAAGTTTCCTCGAGTTGTTCTACCAATCAGAAAGGTATTACATTGTCAACGATGGCGAGCATTGTGGCAGATGCAAAAATTGCTGCGAAACTTAGTCAAACTGCTCTGGAGAAAATATCCAATTCTCAGCAAGATAAAGTGAATCCGAAAATCATCTCTGCTAATGAAATACCGAAAATATTATTCTCAGAGAAGCCTTTGACAACTTTTTCGAGTTTATCAAATACAGAATCTCTGAATAATCCCACGAAATTAATATTAAGTGTACAATCAACTTCTGTGACACTCTCGACTCCGAAAATGTCAATTCCAGATTTGTCGAAAAAAGATACTATCTCAAAGAGCAAAGAAAAACTAACAGAAAATCAAGAAAATGAAATGAAAGAAGAGAAAAAGATCCAGGATAAAATTATAGATGAAAATAATTCCTTGAATACATCATCAAATATTTTTTCAGAATCGATTGAAGAGAAGAAAACTGATCCATTAAATACTACGGATGAACTGGAGAGTATGTTAGAAGCTATTCATAATCCTGCAGAAAATGTTGAAAATAAGAATGATATTCCAACGACGACTCTGAAAAGAATGTCACCTGTTACCGATGATTTGTCGCTCGTCAACATTTTGGAAAATGATACTGAACCGGTGGAAAATGATAAAGAACAAATTTCTTCAGATTCTGATATGCAAAAAGTAACAAATAAATCAGAAGAAATCCAAAAAAACATTGAAGAGATTAATGACAAGAACACAAATAAAAAAAATCATCAGGAAGAACAATGTACGGAAATGGAAACTTCCAAACCATTTCTTCAACATTGTTTAAGTGAAGAAAAGGCATTAATAGAGGAATCATCTGATGATATTTTAGATATATTACAAAATATTATTTCATCAAAACCGGAAATGGCAAACAGTAGCGAGTCGAATATTATTTATCAAATGCCAACTCCGTTAGATACTTTGCCTTTAAATATTCTTCAAGACTCTTTAATGGATTTAGAGCAAGAAAATCTTGAAAATGATCAAATTTCTTCAACTGAACCTAAAAATGAAGTAAAATGTCAAAATGCTGAAGTAAAAAAGAGTTCTCCAGCAATGAGTCAAGCTTCCACTTTGATAGTTAATACCGTGGCACAATTGCAAAAAAGCACAACAACAGTTCCTCATTTATCACCACTTTCGAAGCCAACAGAATTGACTTCTAATGTAGCTAACGTATCCCATCAACTGAGAACATTGCTATCATCTTTACAAAGCAATCAAACAACAGTGAATCAAACCGGAGTGGTCACCATGGTTTCTTCAGTGAAATCTGGAAGTGTTTTATCTACCTCTAGTCCCTTGTCGACATTGAATTCATCAAATAATGTTCAGAGTGGAGTTTCGACTTTGACAAGATTAGATCAAGGTCGTTTTCAACCTAATCTGATCAGCAATATTTTGAAAGATACAGAAATGGTTATAAAAGAGAAAAAAGAATTGAAGGAATGTAGCGGAGTTATTACTACAGGTTCAAAAGTTAATAATAGCGAGCAGATCTTCAGGATGACTTCTTCAGCAACAACTTTTCAGACTACTACAGTTTCTAATCTTTCAAGTACTTCTTCGGCTGCAGGTACTTCTAGAAGCATTACAACTTCGATCTCCATCACTTCAAATGCCATGTTGAATGCCATGTTGGCTGGGACTACTTCCTTAAAATCTTCAATTGCTGGTCATGGCCGAAGTAACACAATACCGACTCAATCTGCAGTCAATCTTTTGAGTTCTGTTTTACCATCGACTTCAATACAACGCTCGCAAAATCTTCAAGCAATCCTTCAAGCCAGTTCAGGCTGTTCTACACCCTCTCGAGTACTGGTAAATACTAGTTCAGCCGTAACTAGCTCAATGCAATGTATTAGAACTATTGTGCCACCTTTGGCAACTTCTAGTGGTGTTTCAAGTACGTCCAGTATTCTTCAATCGACTTTATCGCAAGCTCCAAGTCCTCTTTTGATCTCTAATCAAAATCAATTTAAATCTTCTGGTCTTCTACCAATAGAAAAAAATAACGATCTTGAAAATCAATCTACAACAGTAAAAAAAGATCCTGAAGAGTCCAAAATCCAAGAAAAGAGAGAAATAGATCCCAGTAAAAGTTCTTCTAATTCTTTAAGATTAGAGGATTCTCAAAATGTATTACTGAAGCAACTATTGCAAAATACGGCATGTCCTACGACTTCAGGATCATCACAAGGACCCAGTCTGCCAATAGTTCCTTCGCTGGAAGCGCAACTGGCTCGGCCAGTCTTACCTACGCCACCTTCTTTGCTTCCTCAGTTACTGAACGAAACCTCAACACCGAAACCAGTAATAAAACAAGTTCTTGCAAGGGAAACTTCTTTTTTATCGCATTCAGTAACGCCCTTAAAGATTCAAAGTTCACCAACTAAAGAGGAATCTACGAAACCTCCTCTTCCATTACCTAGTTCGATTGCGACACAAAGAGCACAAACTGAAAACTTAAAACAGCAAACAACAAAGTTAGTTCCTACTCCTTCAGCAAGTTCTTCGGGAAATTCTATATCAAATCAACCAGTTTCTTCAACAATAACAACGACAAAAACGTCTCCTAATATTTCTACGAATTTGCAAGAAACTTCTGTAAGTCAAAGCAAACTGAATACTGGCATGAGCGGAGAAGGGCTTCAACCCCAACAACGCGTTACTGTTTCTAAACAGCGACCAGTAACTCTAATAACGTATCTGGATCACAAATTCAAGTCCAAACACAATCTCAAAACCAAGCTCCTGTTGTGCAGAAGCCAACAGTGGCACAACAACAAGTTCCTTCTTCTTCGACTACTCCCGTTCAACAACAATCTGTTCAGCAACAAGTGCCTCATAGTCATGGAACTGTCGCGGTTCCACCACAAACCGTTATGGGGTCCGTTACCCCATCAGGTTCCAATACAGTGCCTTTAGTCGAGGTTAAGAAAGAAATTGGTCTTGAGGATGTTTTGTCCACTGTTGCCACATCAGCCAGTCAGTTGCAGACGGATACCAAAGAATTTCTCACTACCAAAGAGGAACTCATAGATGGAGCAATGGATGATAAAACTGGTAAGTAATTTTTATATATCATATAAAAATTATGCATTTCGCGGGTTTCGTTCGTGTCCAGATCCATTCTTGGAATGTCAACGTTTCGTGAACCTTGTACCACGATCCTTCATCAGGACGAGGAGCAACCTGATCAGTATCAGACAAGATTCACGAAACGTTGGCATTCCAAGAATGGATCTGGACACGTGGGAAACCTGCGAAACGCATAATAGAAAGCACACGTGGAAGCCTCAAGAATATTTATCATATTACTTTGTTTTAACATATTACTATTTTTTATTTCTTATATTTATTTATGTTATATTTATTTATGTATTTCTATTATTTTATATTAGAAAGAAATGTGTATAATATATACTTCTTTTATTACATATATATTGTGTTATATCGTATTTATTTCTTAAAATAAATACGATATAATATAAAATTAAATTATATTACAAAGATTGTAAATGTAATATTAAGATTTTATTAAATCAAATTAATAACAAATTGTAACAACATGGCGTCTGGAACGCTTTAGATCTTAAGAAGTTGAAGAGGAGACAATACCAACAAAAGAGAAAGCAAAGCCAGGGAAAGGATGCCGTAACTGCACCTCAGAAAAAACGTTCCCGTAAAGTCTCGCGCCTCGATGAGGATTATGACACATTTGTGGACAATTTAATGACCCAATTACGACAACTTCAACCGATGGCGGTTCTGGAACCCCAATTGAGTCGTAATTATGGGGTATGTCCGATTTTCGGTTGCGGAGATCTTGTTAAGATTGGAAGTCAGAAAGATTATAACGCTAGAATTGGCGATTTGATTGGAAATTATGGATCAGCCAGTTTACCTGGAATTTCTGACCATTATAATACACAGCCATTTGGAGAATTAGAACCTCTGCCACCTCAACAACCCTCGACTACGCAGAGAGGATTTTATGATCAAGAATTTCCGCCTTTGAAGTTGGACGATAGTAAGCAATTATTTATTATATTTATATTTTATAATATTGATATATATTATTATAAAATTATAAACAAATTTACTGTTAATTATTTCAATTGTGTGTATGTAAAAAGTTTATAAAATTAAGAAAAAAAGTGGAAGAGGGAAAATAAAAAAAAAAGGAAAAGAAATAATAAGAATATAAGAATATGGAAGAAGAGAAGAAAAATATTATTAAAATAGTAAAAATAATATAAAATGAACGAAAAGATAATATAAATATAACTTAATACATTCATAAGAGAAATAATAAAATACTTAAATTCTTTATACAAAAACATTACGTAAAAATGTTCTTTTGTAGCTGATGATAAGAAAGAGAATATGACGACTAATCGCGACGTGGACTCTCCTGATACCATTGTGAGTTCGTCTTCACCTGAATGTGTTATACCAGAATTTATGCACCGTTTTCCTGGACTGCGATTGATTGAGGAAGAATCGGATGAAGAAGCAGAATGGCTGAAACGTGTGTCACCCGTTATACCTCTGATTTCACCAATTCCAATCAAACTAAAGCCTGTTTACTTAAAAGATGCAGCTAAACAAGACAAGGAGAATTTTGGAATGCCCAAGTATGTATATATGAAATATTTTTTATGATATTATATAATTCTTTAGGCTTGGCAAATCTCCTCCGATTCCTTTACGAGAAAGCGGAAATGTCACTGTGACCTTAACTTTGAATAGTCAGGCTGCCGATGATATAATGGGTGTACTTAAAGATCTTGCTAATATTCTGAACATAACACCGCCTGCTGGTTATCAAATAGTTGAACGCACCACTACTCCTCCTAGTCAGAAATTAGGACTATACAGGACAAAAGGGAAGGACGGCAAAGAGGGTAGTACGTAATTTAATACAATGATTTTATTTCGTAATATATAATATAATATCTATAATATTTCGAAAAATATTTATGATAAAAAAAATTTATACAAGAATATATAAGAAAAAGAAAATATGTAAATTATGAAAAAAGTAGTTATTGGCATTAAAATATAAATAAAATAATAAATAAAATCCAGAAACTTTAATTATATATATAAGATCAAAACAAGATTTTTAAAAAAATATATTGATCCATCTTTCAGCTCCAATCGATATACAAAGTATTCTAAATGGTGCGGCAAAATTCTGTCGTCATTGTGATGTTGTGATCCTTAACAGTTTAATTCGAAAAAAAGTATCGGATCTACCATTCTTGAGCAAAGAGGAAGCTGAACCGGGCGATGAACTTTGCTTCTGTTCAGCGGCTTGCTATATGCAATTTGCGCTCATGCATCGAACACCTTCTAATACTCAAGATAAGGTACATATACAAGAAATATTCTGAATTATAAAAATAAATGAAAAAATATTTTAATTTCAATGATTTTATTCTATAATAAATCATATCGTAATTAAATTGCAAATAATTTATAAATAGAAACAGAATTATAGCTATTTTACAATTAACTTATACTATATAAAATTTGTAAGATAATTATATTAAATATACCAATAATATATTATTATTAATGCACTTACGATATTTATTATTAATTTTTGATAGTTAGAAAAATATTTTTTATATGAAAAAAAATATATATTAGGTGTTGGAATTAATTCGTAGCGTTTTACAAGTGATGGGAAGTACTTTCATTAATGTATTTTTTAATGCTCATGTGAAATAAATAACATTCTTTCATTAAAAAACGCTACGAATTAATTCCAACACCTAATATATTATATTTACTACTACTGCTGCTACTATTATTACTACTACTACTACTATTACTACTACTACTGCTACTGCTACTACTACTACTACTACTACTACTACTACTACTACTACTACTACTACTACTACTACTACTACTACTACTACTACTGCTACTACTACTACTACTACTACTATCACACACACACACACACACACACACACACACACACACACACACACACACATATAATTCTATTATTTTGCAGGCTGCAACAATAGTAGATCATCTATGTCATAAAACAGAAGCAAAAATGTTGGAAGATGATTTGAAAAGTCTGAAGAAATTTCCCATTAAACAGCAACAACAGCAGATGGAGAAATTTGAAAATATGGAGATTATTAATGAATCAACAACAGAGATCAAAGTGAAAATTGAGAAATTGGATAATGTCGACAGTGCAGACAACGACGAAAAGCGATCAAAGAAACATTCAATTAGTGAAGAAATTGGTGATTCTATTGAGCCTCAACCACCTGCGAAAATTTGGAAAGGATTGAAATATAAAACATGGTCGATAGGAGCCATGCAACCTTTAACTAAATTTAAGAAACCCACTGATAGAGAAATTACCGAGGTAAATAATTAATTTAATTACTTAATAATTATTTGGAAAATTTATATGAATAATTTTACACACACACACACACGCGTGTGTATATATATAAAATTTATTACTTGAAAATTACTTAAAAATCACTTAAATATCAAAAGATGTTTTTATGTTATGTATGAATTTATATAGGTTTGTTGATTTCTGTAATATTTAATAAACAAAATTTTAATGTAAAATTGTACATTGAAGATAAAAATTGAATTTTCTTCTAGATGCTATTTCGTATGGGAATTGCAGTAGCTCCCGCAAAAGCCGAAGATACCCGTCGTTGCGTATTTTGCAAGAGTCAAGGCGATGCAACAGCCGATGGACCAGCTCGATTACTCAATTTTGACGTGGACAAATGGGTACATCTCAATTGTGCATTATGGTCTAATGTAGTGTATGAGGCTCAGAGTGGCGCGCTTATGAGATTGGATGAAGTCCTGCAGAACAATCTTGTACAGATTTGCATCATTTGCGAAAAATCTGCTGGTACTGTTAAGTGCTATAAGCCAAGGTGCACTAACTGGTACCACCTAATATGTGCCATTAAAGACGGTTGCGGTTTTTATAAAGATAAGGTAATCAAATAATTTGTAGGGTAATAGTATGTTAGCCAATTGTTCCGCTTAGATGTATAATAAAAAAATTCATAACAAAGTATTCTAGCAAAAGATGGACGCCTGTGTAAAAAAACAGCTTTAAAATTTATAAAACCAGCAATTTTGGGCGCAGAAACTTTTTTACCTCTCTCTCCTGCATTGCCGGAGAAATTTCAGTCTAAAATTAAATGTCTAAACGGAACATGTTGTACATTAAAGATAAGATAAAAATAAGAACTTAAAAGAGTATTCTCAGTACAATCAAGTTCTACTTTTTTAATTTTCATAAGTTTTTTTCTAAATTTTTTATTCTTTCTGATTTTTATTTTCTTTTTCTTATGCAATTTTAAATATAATCAAAATTTTCTTCCAGACTATGGCTTGTCCTCAACACCTTATAAAAGATAAAGATAAAGAACTAACTACCCTTTCTGTTTACCGTCGCGTCTATGTTCAACGTGATGAAAATCGTCAAGTCGCTGCGGTGATGCATCATTCTGACAATAAACATTTACTTCGTGTGGGTTCTCTTATCTTTCTTAGCGTCGGTCAACTACTTCCTCATCAATTGCAAAACTTCCATACGCCCAACTATATTTATCCGGTGGGCTACAAAATCGTGCGTTTCTACTGGAGTATGCGAAGACCTAATAAACGTTGCCGCTATGTTTGCTCGATCCACGATGTCTCTGGTCGTCCGGAATTTCGTGTCCTAGTTCAAGAACCTCTTCAAGAAGATGTTGAACTGAGAGACGCTACTCCGCGAGCAGTTTGGAGCCGAATCTTGGAACCATTGGCAGAATTGAGGAGAAGTACAAACTCTGTACAATTATTCCCGAGATACGTTTCGGGAGAAGATCTGTTTGGTTTGACAGAACCAGCAGTAGTGCGGGTACTGGAAAGCTTGCCTGGAATTGAGACTTTAACCGATTACAGGTAGGAACCAAATGTTATTTTGAAATTAATTTAGATGAATGATCAACAATTATTTTTGTATGATACGTTTCAATTTTTACTTTTGTTACTAGCTTTTGCAGAATATTAAGTTTCTCAGAAAGCAATAATAATGAATTTATTTTTAGATTTAAATATGGTCGTAACCCGCTATTGGAGTTGCCTTTAGCCATCAATCCAACAGGAAGTGCACGTACGGAGGCACGTTTACGCAACCAGCTTCCGTGGAAACGACCGCACACGCAACGCACAGGGGGCTTTGCTTCACGTGGAATGCCATTTGGTTTGCCAACCTGTGGTGCTGCCGCAACAATGGGAGGTGGAGTCTCCTCAACATTAGTTGCAGCGGCTGCTGCTGCCGGCGAAGCCGCTTCCTGTCCATATTCGAAACAATTCGTACACTCCAAGAGCTCACAATATAAGAAGATGAAACAAGAATGGCGTAATAATGTTTATTTAGCAAGATCAAAGATTCAAGGTCTAGGATTATACGCAGCGAGGGATCTGGAGAAGCACACGATGGTGATCGAATACATTGGAGAGATTATTAGATCAGAGTTAGCAGAAACAAGGGAAAAACAATATGAAGCTAGAGTAAGTATTGAAACTCCTTCGATTGTATTTTGTTAATTATTCTTACTATACTATAAAAACTAATTATTTTATACACATACACATACACGTACACGCACGCACGCACGCACACATATATGTATATTAGAATATATTCATATATTTGTTTATTACAGAATCGTGGTATATATATGTTCCGATTGGATGAAGAACGAGTAATAGATGCGACTTTATGTGGTGGTCTCGCTCGCTACATTAACCATTCCTGCAACCCAAACTGTGTCGCTGAGATCGTTGAAGTTGAGCGCGATTTCAGAATTATTATTTTTGCCAAGCGTCGAATTTCACGTGGCGAAGAGGTAATTATACGTTTCTTTATATAAGAAAGATAACTTAAGCATTTTATTTTAATATTATTTGTCCTATTTAAAAATTATAAGTCCCCATGTATGAATCCTTTTTATCTTAAATATTGTATTTATTTTTTTATAGTGTTACATTATATTTATTTTCTTTTGCAGTTGGCATATGACTACAAATTCGACATCGAAGACGACCAGCACAAGATTGCATGCGCTTGCGGCGCACCCAATTGTCGTAAGTGGATGAATTAAACAAATTATGATACAGAGAAGAAACAGGAAATGAGAAGTAAAGAAGAAAACTCAATTTCTCCATCCTGCCTATTGTTATCATTGTTGCTATGTTATATAAGGTAGGAAGTTGTATAGAGATAATTTTCTGCGTGGGGGGTAAATGATAAGATATATATATGTATATATATATTTTATATATATATATATGTATATGTATATATATAACATATATTATATAGATATATGTAATATATAGGTATATATTATATATATCTATGTTTATGTATATTATATATGTTAAACACATAGATATATATATATATATATATATGTACACTACATAAATATAAGACAAGCACTAGGCTATTGTAATTTGATTTGTAAAGTGCCATTGCGCAATATTAATTAACAATTAACCCAGGATTTACTTCTCTATAATAATAATATTGAACAATTCATTAAAATATGATTTGATAGTAGTAGAGATTATCAAACAACGTAATGAAATTATATAATATTCCTCTCAATTTGTTCAGAAAAAATTCTATATTTTTTTGCAATTATATTACGTAATTAAGAATTATAATGTTTAAATTTAAGTTCAAACAAAGAAACTGCTAGAGAACAAATTATATGTGTAAGTATGTTATCTATATAAAGAAAAATTTTAAAAACTTGAAAATTAACTTACAAAGAGAGGAATATGTATTATACATATTAAAAAATATGCACCTTTGTTTTTATAAATAAATAAATTAATTAAATAATTGTAATATATTTTTGGCTTTTTTACTTGGAAAATGGATTAAAAAAATTAATTTGTTTTCATAATAATTTGCGCGAGAGAGAAAGAGAAAGAAAGCGAGCGTTAAGATAAATTTTCTTTAGTTTGTAGGAGTGATCCAGGGTTACAAACTAAAGGATAAATAAATCGAAGAAGTTGTGGTGCTAATCAGAGTCGCCATCACATTCCTCCAAAGTGTTGTATAATATTATAGTTATCATAAGAGAAAATATCGAATGCTTGTATATTGTATACGAGATGAGAAAAAAATATTGAAAGATAGGGAAAAGGAAAAATGGGTTGTATGCGACAGAAGATAAAGAGAATTTCAATCTTTGTGCTTTTGGTCCGATGATGATTTGTTGTAATATAAAACGTTTATATAATTATTATCATCATCATGTATAATTATAATGATATAGACACACGCATACCGTGTGTATCGCACTGTTTCTGTATATAATATATATATATATATATACATACATATATATATATACACACACACATATATATATTATACAAAGTAGTTTTATTTTCGAATCACCCAATATATGTATGTAAAGCGCAATGAGAAAATCTGAGGCGATTTGGAAGAATTATATACAATTATTATACCAATTTCATTATGCGACTGATTTTTAATAAAAAAATATTCCCTTCCATCTTTTTTAATACCCAACTTTTTGTTATATTGCAGAATTAGACTATCCACATAAGAACATCTGTAATATGTTATATTATATTAAGTATTAATCATAAACAAAAGTCTAAACGTAACATCAATGCACAAATAAATATTAATGTTGAATATTATGATTTTTTTTGTGCGGCGATGTAAATTTACTGTTATATTAGGTGTTGGAATTAATTCGTAGCGTTTTTTAATGAAAGAATGTTATTTATTTCACATGAGCATTAAAAAATACATTAATGAAAGTACTTCCCATCACTTGTAAAACGCTACGAATTAATTCTAACACCTAATATATAGACTTTAATTTAAGATTCAGTGCTTAAAGTAACACGGATGATCTTGTGCAGAGAGCTTTATTTTCAAATTTAGTATTTAAAAAAGTAATTATTTATGATTTTTTTATTTTAATATCTACATAATATGATATTTACAGAGGTACATATAGTAATAGCAATGCATAAATATAAAACGCAGTCATTTCGCGAAAGTTCATATCAATCGATAAACTTCTTCAAATTATAATAATAGAACATGATAATATTAATAATATTACTAACAAAAATATATTTACAAATATATGTTTACAATGGCAGCAAATCAAGGTGTACAAAAAAATCTTATTTTTTTAAATTCATTTCCTAGTTACTTAATGAATAAAATTAAACATGCTATTTAAAATTTTTATATGACGAAATTAAAAATTGTATGAATATATGTAAATATTAAGTCCTGAATTATGTATATACATACACACGTGCGCGCGCACATTTGTGTGTGTGTGTATATATATATATATATGTTTATATATATATATATATATATACATACATACACACACACATATAATATCATGGAAGAAATGGAATATTTATTAGAATGTATATAAATGCAATTCTTTGGCAT